GCGCTAGCCTCTTGATAATAAATAAGTCCATGTTTTCCCACTTTTCTATACATCATTCTCTGCAACTCTTCTCCAAACTCCAGGGACCTAACAATTAATTATTGAATTTATAGAGGCACTAACAAGCCTCTTGGTGCTGCTTTAGCCATACCTGCAGGGCATCGGGTTCTTTGGTGTAATGGCAAGGCTTTTTCCTGCAAAAGGCAAAAGAATAGAATTCAATTCCCAAAGAGGAAGTCAATTTTACCGAGTATTTCAGACTTTGTACTGGGATGTTGCATCCTCTCAAGTAAGCTAAAAAAAAAGGAGTCAGATGTGGTCGTTTTTTTAAGCGCGCACAAGGGCGGGGGAGGGGGGGGGGCATTCAACATGTACAGTCAATCATTGACTGTTGGGAAAGGCACCCTCCCTTCAGAAGACTCCTTTTCGGGTAATGTAAGACATTCAAATCACAGAAAAAATACAACAAGTGTTGTGTGTGTTTATATACATCTTTATTCAGATCAGTGGTCAGTACTACGACATCAAAAAACGATAAAAAGCGAGAACTTTGTTTTCAAATCAGAAACACGTCATGATTGCTTCAATTGAAACCCTGGCCCCTTAGGGAACATTATAACCCATATTTTCTTAAATAATCACAAAGATACACTTGGTAATGGATGTTCTGAAACGAAAGTGTTATCAATACGTAATGTTCATAACACAATGTTATTTACTTTATTGATTAGCAGCTCGGAATTCAAGGTTTTCTTGGTGGGTTACCACAAAATTCAGATTTACGGGCTAGAAGACAGGCAAAAAAAAGGGGGGGGGGGTAAGACACGTATAGAAAAGGGAAGAGGATACGATCAAGAGTAATTTTCATCACAGTGTGAGTAGTGAATAAAGGTGGTGGGAGTGTTGTACATTAATTAAGCGATAACTGTGATTGATACGGAGGGGCAAAATTTGCCGTTGAAATCACAATCACAGAAATAATTATAAGAAAGATCATATTTCATGATAAATTTTGCAGCCGAGAGACACCAAGGCACGATTTCGACTCCGAATAGTTGCAGTGTACGTGTTTGCTGCATGTGCCGTCGGGCGAGAAGGGAAATGTTATGGTGGTTTGAAAAGCTTGGCGTGTCATTGCAAAAATAACAAAAATAAATCAACAAATCAGAGATAAAGAGAGAGAGAGAGAGAGAGAGAGAGAGAGAGAGAGAGAGAGAGAGAGAGAGAGAGAGAGAGAGAGAGAAACATTTTGATGTACAGAGAGTGCAATAAAGCAACAAGAACGCTGAGGATTAAAAAAAAAAAAAAAACGAAACCATTTAGATCATGATTTTACAGAACATGCTTGGCAGATATCAAAGTTTCTGGGGTTATGGTTACTGTTACACTACTTCTCTCCATATGATTTAAGCAGATTTCTAACCTAATTTCTTCTTTATTTGGAGAAAATTTGTTTCTAACCAGTTGGAAGAACGCATCAATGCTGTTTCACGAGTTCTCAGGTATCTCCTTCACTTTCCCTCGGAAACTGCCTCGTCGAGATACACAGGACGCTATAGCAATGCTTCGCCAGACTTTAAATAATGAACTATTGCCTTCAGATGAGCATCTTGAAAGTGTCAGTCTAATTTGTACCTATTACATAGACCTCTGTGGTAAAAATATTCGGGGATAAAAGCAAACCTTACTCATTTGGAAAAAGTCGAAGTTCTATCAGGAGTCCACATTAATTGCGCACGCGCTGCACATGCATGTTCTCACGGAAGTGACCGTTTGTATTTCCTTTTTTATTTTGTTAATCTATCACGTTATTGCTAAGTGCTACAAGCTGATATAATGACATAACTTAAAAATGTTAATATCTTCTTTATTACTATCTTTAAAAACAAATGAGTGTCGCTGTTTGACGTTTTAGCGTAAGACCTCAAATGAACAGCAAACCAAAAGGGTTTGCAAGCGTTATGAACTCTTAATCTGTAAAACATAGTCCTAAGGAACTGAATCGGATACAGTGCAGTTGTATATACTTTGGGGTGTTGGGTGCAACATTTTAGGAAGAAAACATAATGAGATGGGAGGGAGAAGGTCTGACAATGAACACAGTAAGGCAATGGGGTTATTTTTAATTTGGTTGCTCCAAGGAAAATAGCACACAGATCATAATAATTATAATGTTATTGCAGATTACAGTATCAAGGTGCAACGCACAATACGATTTCAGAAAATGAAACGATAATATCGATCGACTATAATGAAATTATAATAAAAAAGAACCAAAAAAAAAATGTAGATTGTAACATTGGCATTATTGGTATCAACATGAAAAACATTGAGGACAACAACAAAATAACGACAACAGCATACACAACAATAGTATAATAATAATGATACTACTAATAATAATAATAATAATAATAATAATAATAATAATAATAATAATAATAATTGTAATTATTAGTATCATTATTATTATTATGTGCTAGCAACGAAATAATTATAGCGATTATAAAGGCTTTAGCATGGAAATAATTTTACTTGCTAGCATGGTAATAATTACAAATATATAATGAAATCAAATATTGAACAACAAGGAAAATAACATGTACCAAAATGCAAACTTCACTGCGTAACGTACCAATATTATCGTTTTATTACAAGACAAATCAATTTGAGAGTTCTTAGGTAAAGAATAATATGATTAAAGCCATTTTCGCAAAGGAAAGTAATCGACTGATGCCCATGTCGTTTCAAGGCGCGATGGAATCTGGCGCTCGTCAATTTTGGGGCAAATGGAAATATTAGTATCTCAAAAAAACAAAACAAACACTTTTGATTTTAATAAAAAGATAAACATCTATCCTGAACAAAAGTCAAAATAGTTGCGATTGAAGGAGATGAGGGTCGCCTAGTTTATGAGGTAAAGTTAGCAAAAATAATGGCCGCCAAAATTTGGTGACTTCCACAGCTTGACAGTCCTTGGAAACTGAAAATTAACATTTTTCTTTCCTTTAATAAACGCTATTCAGTAAAATCCACGTACACATGTGCTTTTGAATGGACACAAAAGGTGGTGTGCAAAGCAGCCCCAATAAAATTCAATAAAATGTTGCCAAACCGGAGGGAAAAAAAAGCTGGTTTTTGTGATTTCATTATTTTTACGAGCCCCTGATTTCATCACAATGCACCACCTTTTTGTCATCTTTTAAGATATTTAGAACAGCCGCTGAGATGTACCAGTGCAGACTTCTCTCTTTGGTGGCGTGTATCAACGTACACAATCGCGTTAATGGGGAAGAAACAGAAATGACCCGTCTTAACATGCACATAATTTGATCACAAGGATAAAAGTTTGTTCGAAACTAAATTTTTTTTTAAAAGAAAGAAAGGGACATAATTTATCATAGTTAGATGAGTTTTTTGTGCTGAAAATTATAAAGCAAAAATAAGATTACAATAGATGCATTTGTACAAGCCCAAAATATAGAACACAGATATGCACAGCCAATTAGATATTAATAGGTAATATAGTCACACGAGACAATTATCTCTGTTCATTATGAAAGAAATAATTATGTTTTTAAATTTAAGCTTTGAATGCAGGCGAGTAACAACACCAAAATCTTGTTAGGGGAAAAGAACAGAAACAACAGTTTCCCACCTCTCGCTGCTCCATTATAGTTATTGGTTTGAACATTAAGCAAATCGTATCTTCTAAATGAAAGTTTTTCTGAGCCCCAGTTTTATGACGATGATGATTACGTTTTACAAAGATGATAGGTGTATTGATCATCATTTCTACAAAACATGCGCTTAATCATCTAATGAATAATATTTACGAAGGGTGAGCACGAGGTGGCATGCTGAAATCTAGAGCCTTAGTAGACGGAATTTTAATAAAGTATTCATAAAATTTATTTAATGAATATCTTAGAATTGGATTGCTTGTTCTTTACAAAGAAAACCAAACAGCGTGTTCGAAAAGGTTGATAAATTTGACGTGATTAGCTCCAAATAAAGTAGGCCAGAACGAATAATGTAATCAAACCCTTCCCTTTAACATGGAAATGAGCCTAAAGTTCCATAAATAGATGGACATTAGATATATTTTGTATAGAGTTCACAAAAACATATTTCCTCATTTTTCTGGCCTAATAAATACAAACAAGCATCCAAAACCAAGTGAATTACCTCACTCATTAAAAAGAGCTTAATAACATAAACTCAAAAGAAAGAATCATTTTCCTTAATTTAAGTAAATATTACATCAAATTCATTGCAAATATCTAAACATCTTTTGTGTACTTGTCGATGAATATTTTCACAACAGTTTGCCACTAAGGTAAAATAGTATCATTGAGTTTAGAAAGAAGCTAAGTAGGAAAGAACAAAAGGAGAATTAGAGTGTTTCATCTCAGATGGTTTAACAATATTCTATTTTTGGACGAAGACTCAAATGTCAATGACATAATATTAGAACGTTTAAAAACAGTGATGCAGTATAATATATACAGAGCAAACAATGAGATTGCACATAAGGTTATCCATGGGACGAGAATTCAAAATATTGCACATACAGACATAATCGTCAATACCAAATGCGGTCTAAGACAATTCGAGTACCCAACAGGCCAAGCTTTGCGACCTTATGCACACGCATCCAATCAGCTTCTTCTCTTGAGACAATATCAGTATCACACCACCTCTTTACCTGCCCTGCACTTAACGACCTGTATAGTGCCTACCTATCTGCACCCCCCCAGATGTCCCAAATGCTCTAAACAGCGACAAAACACAGCTGATAAAAAGCTATAAATTCTTTGCCTTATCGACAGGCCGATGGGCTAGAACTCAGATAGCCGCTGGATCGGAAAAGTAAAGTATCTTGAGACAATCACATAAACTTATGTCTCGTGACACAGAGGCCAGTTTTCTATGATGATGAACAACTTTGTTATTTATACAACAATTCCTTGTATAAGTTCTTCCAACAAAAAGGGGGTGCTTTAGAGTTCAAATATGGAGTGTCAATCATAACCAACTGCACACAATAGTAGACAAAAAGCCGACCAGCCATTTATCCCAGTCGTTCTAACAGTCTGATTGTAAGCATAATGAAATAGGTGGAAAGTTGGAAGCAATCTTATTCAAGCTGATTTTAAAAAATCATACTTCAATTGTAGGGTTTACACATCAACACCAAACACTCGTACATCGTATAAAGCTTTGACAATACGCCGTGGACGTAGAGAGTTGTGCACAAGACAGAAGCAATATAAAAGCTGGCATATCATAAATGCTTTCAGAGAATACCCCTTCCTTAGAGATATAACCGTAAATCGATGACAAGATGAGAGACTGACAAACGCCATTGTTCATTTTGGCTTTTGTAGGAGTCTTGCACTTAGCCATCGAAATAAAATAACGTTAATAGTCTTGCTTTCCCTCTCGTACAAGTCGCCTTCATTTATTGAAAGATCAATGACCTCACAGAAACTCACTTCGCTGGCTATTGCATTCTTTAGTTCCAACCAAGTCCCTTGAGGTAGACCAACGTACAGTGAACAACTAATGGTAACAATTTTGGGTACATAGTTCTTGACAAGTCAATAGCCTTTCGCAGTTCATTATTCACACAATACGATACTGCATCTGTATCAAATTAAAATCCTTTTATCCTTGAAGTAGCCTGTAAGGAAAAATAGAAAACAATCTTGCCTGAGCAGAACAACACCAAGCCACAAACTACCTCCCTGATACTTTCCCGGCCCCTTTTCACTGTCCAAATATATACACCGCGTGACAAGACAATTAAATACAAAATATAAAGTATATTAAAGCAAAAACATACTCATACGATTTTATTCAGTATGAATTTTTCTTTGCCCACCCCCTCCCTGCACTTTGACACACTAACTAAAAAAAACCAAAAATCAATTACACGACCACACATTCTGCTCTTGCACGTAAACGCTGTAGTAAACGAGATAGTAATAATTATTCAACTGTAAACGATTTATGTTAAGCACCAGCACAGCTGATTTAGAAGAAAATACTTTTTAGTGAACATTGATATACATACATATAATACATTATGTAAATGACATGTACACTAAGCCCATTCGCATATAATACATGTACAACGTTAACATACAAACGCAATACACCTTTACAAATTTCATTTAAGTATAACGCATTGTAATACATTGGGTAATTATAGACATTAAGTTTATTTTTACACACCCAGCACATAACACCACTGCCAGTACTAGTCTCTCAGCAGTCAAGGGGTGGTAGAATTAAGAGATTCAGTGAAGCGCGTACAATATCTAGACTTGTTGTTAACTTAAAAGTTAGTCGTAAAAAAAAAAAAAATTCCCCACTTCGTATCTTCACGCTGAATGCCTATCCCACTTGGCCGCGGTTTCTCTCTCAGAGATGTGTGTAAGACGCACATATCACATATTCTGTGTTTCGCAGCATAGCCAAGCACGTATTATTTAAGGATTAATTAACACTGAGGAAAATAAGGTAAAGCCCCATTCTTTAAAGTAAGGATCCTATCTGGCCCAGCCAGATACTGACACTATTACCATTACGAGTTCTCAGATCACAGGACCCGGTGAAAAGGGATAGGGGGAAAAAAGTTGGGGGGGGGGGGGTTGTCTGTTGTGTCACAGGCTCTGCAATTGTAAGTACTGTTGACGATGCCTCATCTGGTGAGAAGTTGTTGACCGTTTCCTAGAGCGCAAGTAATCCTGACAGTCTTGGACCGACTATTTTGTTTCACAGTCATAAGAAGCACCTCGCTTCTACATCGATAAGTTTACATTTTGAGAATCAGGCAAATCAAGTTTTGTCTTAAATCCTTGAATTTGTGCTCATGGCAGTCTTTGGAAGTCCCAAAGGGTAAACTGACCTGTCGATTTCGATCATGGTCTAGTCCCAAATCACGGTTAAAAGTGCTGATATCACTGAAGCAGCATGCGTTTCTCAGTTCCGTACATTTAGAGTCCCTATAGTTTTGTCCATAGGTGCTCTTTACAAAGATTCTAATTACTTTGTCATTGAATTGATTTTAAATGAAGCTTTCTGAACCCCGGTCGACTTCACGAATCATCAACAGTAAACTCATTCTTGGACAAGTGAATAAACTATCGTGTACACACCCTTGCTTGTCGTGAAAACGGCCGTGTTTCTTCAGTCTTTTAGAATGAATTCTTTCTTTGTACTTCTATCGGAGTCCATCTTTTGCGGAGGGTAGCGGCGGCGACGGAAGCAGCAGAGAACGCGACGGACAGTTTTCTTCACTTGACGTCTGAAGTTGATGTTGAGAAAACTGTAGATGATGGGGTTGATAGCATTGTTGATGAAGAAGCAGTTCGAGAAAATCTTCAACACGGCGAGCGAGGCGACGCTCTGGGTGCTCTCGAAATCTTTGTCCACACTACGGATGACCATGACGGCAATGGAAGGGAGGTAGCTGAGGATAAACGCCACTGTGACGGCGAAGAGAACGACTGTAGTGCGGGTCACCTTCAGGCGTGAGGCGTACGACGCCAGAGATGAGCCGATTTTGGAGCGGCGCTCTCCGGTAGACGCGCTGGAGGACGTGGAAGGGATCCCCGCCTGCAGCCTTTGCTGTTGCTGCTGCTGCTGCGAGGAGAGGTTGTGACTTTGCTGTCTTTGGTGGTGCCGGTTGCTGTAGATATGCTGCAGTTCGTTCATGGAGCCGTTGTGGTGGTGTTGACACACAGTGTTGTTGCAGGATTCATCCTCGCTCAAGCTTGGAACGTACCTTATCCTCATCGTACGGTTATCGCCATCTGCCTCGCGAGCGATCTGGTCTCCGATAACGAAACGACGGCGACAACGAATCTCAAGCCATATGCGGGTGTAGAGAACGGTGAGGATGAGAAGAATCACTACAAAGATGGCAGCGAGAGTCGTGTAGAAAGCCGTTTGAAACGTCGATTTCTTGTACTCCTCTGCAATGGAGCAATCGTGACCCCTCACATTAGGGATGGACGTGTTGGTCCTGGTGGTGCCAAATAGAATTATGGGCGGTACTGACAATAAGAAAGCCAGAAATACTGCAAGGACACAGAGCATCCGAATTTTAGACAGACTTACGACCATTAGAGGCCGACAAATCTTGAAGTATCGATCAAAGGCAATCTCCACTAAAATAATCGCAGACCCAAATATAGTAAAAGTTACGCAACCGCGTAGAATTTTACAGCCTGCTGTACTGTAGAAAGTGAAAGGATTGTTCAGATCGTACAGTTCGAATGGCATCCCTATGGCGCAAGAGATCAGATCGAAGACTGCCATTGTTAAAATGAAATAGTTCGACGACGTCTTTTTGAACCTGCGTCGGTACACATAAACAACTAGAGAGTTGCCGATCACCCCTATGAACATAAGTACGCCGACCCAGATCATGGCAGGGATGTAGTACATAACGCGTTGTCGGTTCAAGATTTCCAGGTGCTCTTCCTCTGTGAGCCCCTCTGTGGTGTTGGGTGAATCCATTGTGGGTAGGAGGGGGGCTACGGTGGTGGTTCGGTCGATGGCGTAGGGGAACTGGCTCAAATTCATCGTGTCTGTGGGGAAAAGAAAAAAACAAACGGAAGGTTAAAAAAAGTATGTTAAGGGGGGGGGGGGGGGGGGGGGCTACCCCCCCAAAATCAAAATTCGGCTCAAAATCATGGAATTTGAGTTGTAGGCATTTTTAGCTTCCTCAGCCTCTCCTACAACTATTTCATGGCATAAGAAACCCCCAAAACCGTATTTTTTCCCCCATACCGGGCATGTTTGTAACCGCCATTTCCTCATAAAGTCAGTATTTTATTTTTCTTTATCGGCCGTTTTCTCAAAATGCGACTTTTCTCTATACTTTTTTAAATAACTCCATTTTTCATCCAATCTTCATGAAATTTTCACAGAATGAAGAAAAGAGGTAATACTAAAATTTTTTCTGTTGAATTTTTGATATATGGAATAGATTTTTGTTGGTGGTGTCTGGAGTGTGGATTTTCACGGATTTTTTCGCAAACTTGAATGCTACCTCTGGAAAAAAATTCATTAAAAATGTTCTAATTCGATTAGGAAAAAAACAACAGACTAATTTTTAGATTTAATGTTTGTGAACACGCATGCAAAAGAAACAAATAATTTCCATCAGCGATAAGTGCGGTATTCATTACGTACGACATGTCAATAAAATCCAATATGGCGGCGTATCCATGGAAACGAAACTTTTTTCTCATCAAATTTGATTGCGGATTTTAAGACTCCTTACTATGCTTGTTATATGTGTGAAATTTAGTAAAATTCGGTCCAGTAATAAGCGAGATAGCCTCCAGGTGTAGCCCCCCCCCCCCTTAACAAAATGAAAAGACCATTGCGTGTATTTCAACTGGTAAGTGTCATACGTCGCTCTTCAAAATGGCGTATCGCAGAATCTTACACTAAACAGTCGATTTACAAAGCACTCTATTATTTACGTTTACTGACTTGGAAACCGAAGCACTGGTTATACCACCCACCACTCACTCATGATACAGGAGCAATCTGCCATGCTGTAAAGGACTAGAAAAATTGCCATTTCCGATTCAAATGAATCGCATTATCAATTATTGGACTGTAAACAACAATGTCAAAGCTGTCGATTTTATGTCAAAGAACCAGTAAAAATGTCCTAAATTTGATACAAAAATAATATTTATCATAGAGTCGAACAGGCCAGATTCATTGTGCCGTAGCTAGCTGGTTAATGCATTAAAAAAATTTAAGCACCCTCGAAGAAATTCATTTCCAAAGTAGAAGGTTGACGAACTTGGAACAGCAACGGGAGTCCAAGATTTGATACCTAATGGGTTTCCACATATTTTTTTTGGACCAGTCCGAAATATTTTATTTCCGGCTGTTGTCCTGACGGAAGACTAAGTGCTTTACAAGAACAAGTGACTTCAGCATGTCTAGACGAACGCTAATATTTAATTTAATAAAAAGACAAATTATGAACACTTGGTCTCTGTTTCCCGACAAGAGAGTGAGTGTACTGAGTGACGCGGCCAGGAGAAGAAAGAGAGCGCCAGTGCTAAAAAATAGTTGGGAAATGATAGAGGGAGCAGTTCTTGCTTCATGATATTGTCACCCGTCTTAACTCTCAAAGGACGTCGCAGACAAATACAACCAATCAGCAGATGACCAAACGCAGTGTTTCAGCACATTTCGAATCTCTTACGAGACACAAATAAAAAACAAAAGCAGCTTTCATTTTTTTTGGTCCGTTGCTCATTACTGTGAGATTGATGGCATATTATTTGTAGAAAGAGGTGCGTATGGCACTGTCCGATAATGTGTTACATACATACTTATTGTAACAAGTAACTGTTACAGATAGACATTCAAGGAATATAGATGTAAGTCAAAAATCTGAGAGCAATGGTGATTGAAAGTGATGGGGGTGGTGAGTGATGATGTGAGATTGTGTTTATGTAAAATGCATTCACTAGCTCTCAGCTGAGTTTTGTACGTTAACTTTAGTCCTATTTTCCTCTGCAGCAATGAGTCACGAGGGACGTGGGCACAAAACCAGTTTTCGTATTCCATAGTATACATATTGTTGTATCTTTGGATGTCAGATAAGGAAAACAGAATTGGGAAAATATGTATGAACACGAAATTAAATTTGTTTTAAGTCCCCCAAACCAGTGCGTCTTCAAACGTTGTCGAATAACTAGAATGCTCATGCTCATCGCCATGAGTTAACACAGAAGATCAAAGAATCAAGTGATTCGTTCATCTGATGAGGTTGCCACCAAATCAACCGACTGCAAGAACATAAAGGAGATTAAAAATTTTAAGCTCCTTGACGAACACACAACTCAGAGTTTGGATATAAGGGCAGTGGCAGGCCATGCTAAACTTGGCAGAACGGCGTTGAAGAGGTCCCCTAAAGCAATACCATATCAACAACAGAAGGCACCCAACTAGCCCTTGATAGAAACCTGCACATTCCCGCCACATCTTACGGATACACTAGGAAGGATAGAGTATAAACAGAAGTTCCGTTTTGAGGCTGACATGATTATGCCATGTGTGACCGGAGAGCCAAACTAAAGAAAATAAGAAACGTTCAAGAATATCCCGTTAGAGATTTAGATTGCGGTTGTCCACACTGCAGTATCGCAAGCTGTTATCTGAGACAGCGGCGGGTCCTTAGAGTGTACACTTCTGTGAATAATGATAATAATAATAATAATAATAATAATAATAATAATAATAATAATAAAATAATAATAATAATAATAATAATAATAATAATAATAATAATAATAATAATAATAATAATAATAATAATAATAATAATAATAATAATAATAATAATAATAATAGATAGATAGATAGATAGATTTTGAATAGTGCAAGTTCCCGCCCAACGGCAAAATTCTGTGTACTTTACAATCTATGTTATTTCCCCAGCAGACCTGATAGCATTCTGAAAAAATCCTAACTTCAACATCAGCGTTCAGCGCTTACAAATATTAAACCAAAAGTTTTAAGGACCAATCCACTAAAACACGATTTTTTACAAATACATGTATTCATCAGAACTTGATCGAATCATACCAATGAGTTATGCAATTCTGTTTTCCAGCAAACATTAGAGACCAAGAATGTGAACATTCAAGAAGACAAACAGCAACGAAAAAAAGACCTTGATCCGGATTTTCATGTGTTACTTCGAACGTCATTACTTCGAACGTCAATCCATGTTGAAATATAAATGTGAAATCAGACGCTCGTCAAAATTATGAAATAGAAGAAACCGGCTTTTTTTCTGCCCGGTGGGCAATCTTTATAATTGTATTTTTTATCACAACACCAATTAGGCACGTTTAAAAACACTTTCCTATGTAAATTTTACTATTAACGCTGATCAAAGGCACACAAAAGTACATTTGCCGTTTCCAAGGACACTCATGCTTTTGAAGTCACCAAACTTTGGCTGGCTACTTTTTTCTCGACACTAGGTGCCCCAAATCTCTTTAAATCGCAAATATCTCTATTTCTGCTTTTCATCAAAGCAATATAATTGAACAAGCTAAAAGATGATACCAATTACTCCATGTGGCCAAAACTTGACGAATGCCTGATTCCACACAATAATCATAATCATAACAACCATTTGCTATCCAAATGAAATTTTAGCATGTCTCTTCGTCGGCTGTTTGTTGTTAATCAGAGCCTTTTGTGTCCATTTGATAAGTTAGAGCTCTTCCATTAAAAATAAACACGCCCACATTTATGAAACCAAGGGGCGTAACAATCTCACTTAAAGGCGAATCATGGCTCTCATGGTTAGCTTCCTTTAACTTTCAGCACCCGCCCCCTCCCCCCACTCCTTCTCCCCATCTCTCACACACACGTCAAACCTTCGATCCTTCTAACTCCCCTACTATCTCTCTCTCTCTCTCTCTCTCTCTCTCTCT